AACAACAACAATTGAGTCGTCTATCTACTTCACAAGCACCGTAACAACATCGACAACATCAGAGGCTATGCGGAAAGAAGAGATTGCCAGTCAGATATGTTATACTACTAAGTAGGAAAAGACCAAAACATGATTCAGATTATGCTTGCTGGGACAAAGTCCATCCTCTCATAAACAAATACTTTCTGCTCCTTAGGAGCCTTCTGCACACCTTTCATATTGATAAATATTTACACATTTGAATTGGAATTGTTTTTTCTTAGAAAGTAAGTATTTTTTTTAAGCTCCCATCGAAAGTTTCGGTATTTTAGGAGGTGGGCTTCCACCCTACCTGTCAGGGCTAACCTGAGCTGAGAGGGATGAATTGTCTCAACAGAGAAACTGAGATGCTCAATAAAAATTCTCCCCGCTTGGGAATCAAACTTGGATTTCCTGCGTGTAATGATGAAATGCCTAACTGCTACACCACAGATGTTGAATGCATCTGAATGCATCTGAGTTATACCTGGATCATGATTTGAGCTGTTGGCATTTCACTTTTGCCATTATTTTTGTTATTTTTCAGCCATTTCACAACCAAAACTAATTGCCACACACATCCAAATGAATCCTGGGATCGTCATTACTTTTTATTTGAAATTGTTAAATAATTTGCTCACATTGTTGTGGCTGACAGTTTCAATATATATCAAGGCTGTCTCAAGTAAAAATGAATACTCCAAATTTTTTTTTTTGCCCACTGTAAACAGCAGGATCAAACACAGTTGCACAATTTTCTAGAGACAGATGATATACGAGAAAGTAAAAAGGAAATTATTTTATCATGAAAGGGTCAATATTTTAGTGCAGTAGGGCAAAGATACCGCGAACACGGGAAAACTCAAAATTACGGACATCTCATTAATTTGTTATTCCCTGACTGATACCTCTTTAATTTTTTCCTTTACAGTTTACCCGATTATGGCTTTGTCAAACTGATTTGTCAATCCCTTACATATTTGAGTTATTCGTGCCCAACTGTATATTTGTAAGCCACAGGTTTATTCGTCAGTGTCCTCATTTGGAAAAAGTGAAAGCACTACAGATTGTCCACTAAAAAAGAAACGTTGTTGAGAATTTCCCCCAATCAAGTTGCTCAGTAAGTGTTAAGCCAGTATGATTAGTTATATTACACAATATACAAATGTTTGTTAGACGGCGATGTGTGAATGAACTGCCTTACAAGGCTTTGTTCTCCTTCTTAGCATAATGTAGAAATAAAATTTGTATATATATATTATGTTTAGGAAGCACTGATGCAATAGCGAACTAAAGCACGTAAAATAAAAAAACATTACGACATCAACTTTGGAGGTGTCTCCCTGAAAGAGACTCCCCACAATCCAAGCTCCTCAGAACCACTGACATAATGACATAATGATAATATTATAGGAAAAATCTCTGATCTTCTCTAAGGAGTATATCGTTTCAGAAGAGATGCAACGAACTTATACATATGAGATACTAACGATACTAACATTATGACTTTCATTTCGGTTTCGAATCTGAAAAAAATGATGATATACTGATGTCGTATACAACAATTGTGTCAAAAAGACCTATGTGTTACGACGTGGTAGAATCAGGCGCTCATCACCTTTTGGGCATCTGGAGTTATTGGTATCCTCTTAAAAGCTTGTTCATTTGATGTTTCTAAATGGACAAAAAAAGTGTTGAGCAAAAAAACAAAAATGAGTAAATTAGAAGAAACAAAATATCCTATTAGAGGAAAATGCCATATCTTCGAATTCATTATTTTGATGAGCGCCTGATTTCACCATGATGCCTCACAAACAACTAAACTGCCAATGACGATTCACTCACACAGACACATACATCCTGATTCCTTCGTGGGCCTGACCATTTTGCCATCAGAGACACTTCAGATCAGCAATGTTGGAATCTAAGTGAAATGAGCAGAGCCTTACCAGGAATCATACCCATACAAGTCTTAATGTAATCAGAAAAAGAAGGGTATATAATATAATTATCTTTGTATGATATTCAGGTATAAATTCCTGAACACATTTTTTCCTCAAAGTAGGCATGAGGAAAGGAAATCAAAACTTAGGTGCCTGGTGAATCACTGGCGGCTCCAAGGGACAAGTAGATAATTGACATTCTCATTTAATTTCAAGAACAGAACACCATGGAAGTAGGCCTATTGTTTATCAAGTAAACAAGGTGAAATGCAAAAAAAATGAAATAATTGAAAAAAAAGATAAGATGCAGACTGTCCTTATAAGGTGACTTAATTGAACTATTAGGTTTATATAAATGCCGTACTCTTGTCAAACTTATGTGAAATATATGTCAAACTTATGTGAAACATATGTCAAACTTATGTTAATCATACATCAAACATATATGTCAAACATAGGTCAAACATATGTCAAACTTGTGTCAAACATACGTCAAACTTGTGTAAAACATACGTTAAACTTAGATCAAACATACGTCAGACTTATGACAGAGCATTGAAACCCTTCTACACCAATGCAAAAATGTAGATATCTGTAGATTGCACAGAAAAGATTATGCTCGGATGATGATATATGTGCTTGCACGGTAAAAGAAATAAAATACCTTGTTTCAAATATACTTGTGTATATATATATATAATAGTATAATAATATGGCATGGGTCTTGGAATACATCCTCACATTAGATACGTCAAATTACATGTAAAATTCACAATTTTTTTTTGTTACAGAAAACTATAGGAGGACGTAGGCAAATTCACAAAAGTCACAACAAACAAAATAAATAAATGAGCCATTTTCTTGAGCAAATGAAATCAAAGCTGTCATGAATAAAACCAGAAATTCCGAGAAACTATTGTGTTTCCAATAATCCTCTTCTACATTTGTGGGTCTCTTAATAAAGCTGGATTGGATTTGCATATTATGTTTCCTGGAAAAATCAAGCTGATCATATAAAAACTTTTCTATCTTCTTCTATTTTCAAATGTAGACTTTTATCAAGTTTCTTTGATATAATTTTGTTTATTTCTAAAATTTCCTGTTCACAGAATAGAAACATGCACAAAGGCAGTCCTGTTTGAGGAAATGATGACACCAGTGGCTCTGAATATATATATATATATATATATATATATATATATATATATATATATACAGCTTTTAAACACAAGGGGGCTATCCCGAAAAAGGCTATTTTGAGGAAATCGAAAGTAAAGTTTTATGACACTTGTTAAGTTTCTTTAAAGGACAAGGAAAGTTTTCTCTATAACCAAACAAATATACATACCAATGAAACCAAACTTCTCCTATACGTAGGGCAATGCCCACTTTTGGTGTAGGTTAAGATTTCTGGAAACCCCTGAAGTCTGGGCTTTAGCTCGCTTGTCCTTAATTAAAAGCGACCATATCTCATAATGACTGCATTGTAAACCAGGTAAACGCAATAATTCAACTCTGTACTCATTCAGAAACTCACTCCGTAAACTACAGAAAAATAGACACCTGCCATAGCGTGGAATGTCACAAAACTGCACAACAAGACAAAACCTGAAATCATTAACGTTAATGTAGTTAACACGTACTGTTGACGTATATGAACTTAACCTGTATCGATAACTAAATGCTAATATTTATGAAATTAGCTCGTACCGTTAATGTTTATGAAATATTAACCTGTACCGCTAACTAAATGCTAATGTTTATGAAATTAACCTGAAATGTTAACATTTATTATGAAATTAACCCTGTTCCTACAACAACAACAACCTCAGTCAAATTTCAGTTTGTGTGTTAAAAATACATCAACACAAAAACTGTCATCTAGTGTTGGGGAAAAGCAAGATAGACAAGACAGATAAAAACAACGAAGGGGAAAGAAAAGAAGTGAGATCTCCTGCCAATGCACCCTCCAACCACCCACACTTGAGTCAGCTATTCAGAAATACCAAGCCCAAAATTTGGGAAAAACCTTTCACTTTCATTGCAATTTCTTAATTTGTGAGTGGTATCTGAATATCAGTCGAATTGAACTGAAACAATTGAGGGAAAAAGAAGAGAAGTAGGACCACCTACCTAAGTGCCCTCCAACAACTGGTCTGAACCAGTAGGGGTGACATCATTTAACTGTTCGCAAAAGTCGATTTGCACAGAAAGTAATGTATAGATAGCTACACCACTGGCAGGACACTGCTCTATGCATAAGACCGTATAACTGAGACACGATTATCATTATATGGATATGGATGGTTCTGGAAGAAATAGTTAAGTGAACTACCGATGACTCTAATATATTAAGTTGAGTTTAAGTAAAATATGGCAAGAATCATTAATATTTCTCAGGACTGTGAAGTATCATACCATGCCTAAGAGGCAAGCCATATACATAAATTAATATAATTATACGTATGTTTACAATATATCATGCAGTTTGAGAGTAGTCGAGGAAATCACATGACTCACACCTGTGGTGTGTTCCACATCCAGACTTTAGTTTTCGTAAGAGTTTTACGGCACTTGCAACACAATAAGGTCATATAAGTGCCGCAGATTAGAGGTGTTACAAGAGAGAAACAAACATAAAAAAGAGGAGGAAATAGAAGGACAATTGATGTTTGATAGGAAAGAAGGAGCAAACCACACCAGAGCACCCACCAACCTCCTACACAGCCAGACTGCCATCAAGCAACTGTCACATACTGATCCTCTCTTGATGGAAATATTCACCAAATGAAACAGGGGAGGTCATGACTCATCTCTTGGCGGAAATATCCATCGACCAAATGAGGAAGGTCAAGGTCATGACGGATGAACCAGCTGGAAAGTTTGCGACACTTTACGCACGAGACCCGAGCCAAACTTCCTCCAGGGACCAGTCGCAAACATTTTTTGTTTCTCATTCATTCATATCCGAACAAGTCAAGATATATAACACTCTACATCTTTAGAAATAAAGGGAAAAAATAAAACCAAATCTGAAAATGACTTAGGTTTCAAATTCTTTGGTACAGAAAAACCACAAAAACATGTGAAAACCAAAATGGCAACAAAATAACAATCAAATTTGAAAGTGAGGAAAATGACTAAGTGAAAAAGACTTAAATTAGTCCTTCACAATTTGAACACTGGAACTAATACCTTTTTATGGTAGGGAAAATTTAAAAAAAGACTTTCACAAACTGTAAATAAATTGAGCAACCCAAAAGGTTTGAATACTTTTTCAAGGAAGTATCAAAGACTAAAAAGATACAAATTTTCTTAGTCAAATACATTAAATTGTAGAGTCACATGAGGGTTTAAGTAAACAAAATATAATGATGACTCAGCTCACTTCACAACAATTAGTCAACATGATTAAAAAAAGAAGTAATTAGAATTTTTGTCGGGAAGTAGCATATATATATATATGGTATATCATGACCATTTACAAGTGTTTATTCAAGCAGTTAAAGTGCTCGACACACGTACATCCACATACACTTGACGCTGCTACATAAATGTGAGACATACTACAGGAATCACTGGTCTGTATTGAAACTATGGCAGAAGAAAAAAACATATTTCACAAAATTTGCGCTCACAACAAAAAAATGAAAACTCTTGAGTGATAATAAACGTGTATGGAAGTAAACAGAATGAGGTATTTCTGATTTTTCACTTGATCAAACTTGTCGTCAACTTCATAATACACAAGAAAATCTACACAACCAAAGGAAAAATCCAATTCCATAGACGGGGGTCACATTGAGTTTGGAGAGAAGAAACTTCAGAGAACAAACAAAAGAAGTCGTGTAGATCTAATTCTCTCATATGAAATGTCATCCGTTCTGAGAACTCTCACAAAAAACTCACAAAAAATATGCAAATTCTGAAGACAACTTCTTTAAAAAATCGGGAATTTCCCCTAAAAAAGTGGTCTGAGATGTTCATAATAGATCATCAATTATGATGCAGACCAGAGACAAAGTACAGGAGGGGATAAAGTCGACACTGTAAATCCTGGTCTCTTGAACTCTGAACTCCTGAACTCTGAGCTCCTGACACCAAAACATCTGACTACTCTCATCATAATGGTTAAATGGTTTGGGTTATAGCCCTGAACACAAGACTCTGTCAAAGACTGCTTGACAACCTTCTATTTAACTGACTATTGATCATCACAGAAAAATCATTGGCTGGGTCAGGCAGTTATAGAGGCATCAAAAGTGTCCAGACCAACAGTTGGTGTTGCTGTTGTCAATCGAGATGTTCTTGGATCATAAACTGTCAGCTTAGAGTCAGGTGAGGTGAATGAGAGCAGAAGTCTTCAAACGTTGCTGACTATTACTGCACAGGGGAATGGACTGATGGTGAAGGACATCATGAATTTCATTTCATGCAGCCCTGTCTGTATACATATTTGTGCTTTCTGACTGCAATATCAACAAAATAATCACTGTCAACATCCTATACTTTACTTTAATTAATAGTAAGTAGATAAAAACTTGCTTTCTCCAAATAAAAAAAAAATGTTTTCCTTTTTGGTGAAGAGAAAAACAAAATGTCCCAACTTAATTCTCAACACAGAGAAAAATTGTATTATGAGACACATACACCATGACACAGATGTTCAATCTACTTCTGCCTTCCCAAGACGAGAACAAAACACATTTTTTTTCACCTTTCACATGGACTGCGAGATATCAGGGTCAGGGGGAAAAAAACAGGAGACATTCGGGGGTGGGGGGAGGGCTCTTGTGTAGTATCATCAAACAAAACAAAAGTTTTGAAGGGTTGGATGTGTAACAAGTTTTGAGTCGTATAACGTCAGCAGTGATGAGGAACACAACCCATCAACTAACTACACGGAGTATTCTCACACTGCACGATACTGTAACAGAACACACAACTCTGTGAACCAACACGAGGCACAACGCACCAACACATTACGCAGTCCATTAACCTACACACTATACAGCTTTCTGACATACTACACAACAGTCTCATTTTCCCATAACAAAATGAATCAATGAGCAGCAGTGTGCATCAACACACTACACATGTATTTTCTCATAACAAAGAGAAGCACACTGCACAGAGTACTGATGACACACCTCGCAGTCTTATCCCCATAACACACTACACATGTATTTTCCCATAACACAATGACTCAATGCTCGGAAGAGCCCATCAGCACACTATATAGAGAACTGACGACACACTTCACAGTCATAGCCTCATAACACAGTGAATCAATGCGCAGCAGAGCGCACTAACACACCACACATTTATTTCCCCATAACAAAGAGAACCAACGCACCAACCCACTACACACACCCCATCAATGCACCAATGCACTACACACTCATTTCCCCGCAACACAATGAATCAATCCAAGAATGACGCAGTACAGTAAAAATACGTCAGTCCTCCTGCGCTATGCAAGTGCATGTTACTGCTCTACACGCACATGTTACTGCTCTACACGCACGTGTTACTGCTCTGTGTACTTGATGACGCGCTCCACCTGTCTCTGCAGCCACTCCAAGATGTCTGTCTCTGTGCTCTGGATCTCTCGCTCTCCGCTGGAGAACAGGTTCAGACTGGACTCATCCTGCGCAGACGAGGAGGAGAAGAAGAGTAAGCATTTATTAGTCTTCGTTTCAGTCTTAGTTTTACTTTTGTTAGACTTTTATCACACTTTCTTGTTTGCGTAAAGAGAAGTACATCGACACAATGACGGTCATTTAGTGCTAGGAAAAAGTTAGACGGACAGACAGAAACAACAGAGGGAAAGTAAAGAAGCAGGACCTACCAGTGGCGCCCTCCAACCACCCACGTATGGTACTTGCAAGTTAGTTTTAGTTTTGTAAGACTTTTACAGCTCTTGCAACATAAATAGTTATGAAGATTAGATGTCTTACTAGAAAGTGACAAATCACTACCAAAGAATGACAAAGTTGTATCTGACATTTTTGGCTGTTTTGAATTACTTAGACCATCAGGTCAGAAACTAAAAATGCTCTATCAAAATCGTAAGATTATCCGGAGTCGTTATCAAGAATGTCAAAGAACTGCATTAGTAAAAAGCTTTACATGATGTGAAACGCAAAATTTTTAACATCAAATTTCTCAAAAGTAGTCACAGAGCAGATAGAACTTTGTAACCCTAAGGTAGCGAAATAGAGAGTAACAAACAAAGAAAAGAAGGAGGAGAGATAATGATAATAGATATCTGATAGGAAAGAAGGAGTAAAACACATCAAGGGTTAGGGTTAGGATTATGGTTTAGAATTAGAGCTTAGGATTAGGGTTTAGATTTAGGGTTAAGGTTAGAGTTAGGAGAGCACCCACACACCACCCAGTGTACCTTTTGAAAAATATTTTTCTTTTTAGTAAGGTTTTACAGCACTCACAACTGCATAAGGTCATATCAGCGCTAAGGGGTGGACGTCAAAAGAGAAGACCAAACGGGGAATCAGGCTTACTATGCTCACCTCTCTAGTCTCAGCAACACAAAGTCTACTTCGGCTATCAAGGCACCCTGGATATAGCAGTTTACAAGAGAGTGACAAACAAACAAAAGAAGTAGAGGAAAAAAATGATGATAGTAAGGATGAGGAAAAAAAAAGCAGCAGTTCTCCCTATGTTGTTTCGGCGCAGTATGAGCATGACATTGATAGATCAGCCCATTTACAATTCCACTGTGCATAAGAACATGTTAATGTGGGAATGGCCTAAAGACACTTCAGTCAGTGGCATTGCCCTCGGGGGGAGGGGGGGGAGGCGAACGAAAAGAAGGAGGAGAGATAATGATGACAGATATTCGATAGGAAAGAAGGAAAAAACCCACATCAGAGCACCCGTCAACCACCCAGTGTACCTCTTTGATCTTGAAGATGAGTTTGTTCCCTTCCACGATGGCTGGCACGCCCAGTAGGCTCTCCACTGTCACCTTCCAGTCCACGTCCCAGCCGCCCCACAGACGGCACTTTTCCAACACAAGGATGTGCCTGGTGGGGACACAAGGTAATGATAATAATAATAATAATAATAATAATAGTAACAATAATAATAATAGTAAAAATAATAACGATAATAATAATAATAATAATAATAGTAACAATAATAATAACAGTAAAATAATAACGATAACAATAATAATAATAATAACAATAAATAATAAAAATAGTAATAATTATAACAATAATAATAATAATAACAATAACAATAAATAATAAAAATAGTAATAATTATAACAATAAAAATAATAATAATAACAATAAAGAATAACAACAGTAATAAAAATAATAGTAATAACAGTAACAATGATAATAAATAATAATTAAAAAAATGAATAATAATAATTTTTTTTCTTTAAGTACCAGATTTGAAATCGACATTAATAATCAGGGCTCACCACTTTATCTGCTTGGACGTTCTTAGAAACATAAAAAGCATAAATTATTATCCTAGTCTTCTCCCCATTGCACATCTGTTCAAGTTCTCTAAGTAAGTTGGTCTCGGTCTATCTTTTCCTCTTATCCCCCCACACTCCCCGAAACGGAGAATCCGCATGCAGCAGGAGCCTCAAGGTCTTCTGTCGAGTAGGGCCGCCGCCTCCAAGACAATGGTGATGGGCGTCGGCCTGGGTCTGTCGGTGTGTGGTGTTCGACCCAATCAAAGATAGGTCCACAGGTCCACAAGGGTTTTTTTTTGTTTTAGTAAGTGTTTTACAGCACTTGCAACACAATAAGGTCATATAAGTGCCAAAGATTAGAGGTGTAATACGAGAGTAAAAAACACAAAAAAGAAGGAGGGGAGATAAAGACGATAGATTTTTATAGGAAAGAAGAAGCAAACCACACCAGAGCACCCGTCAACCACCCACTAAAAGGGTTCGGATACTTTCTCAGTGTCAGTAATTTCAGTAAACAGGCTCATCAGATAACACAATACATAGTCTATAGTGTCACATACTCACCAACACAAACACACTCATACAAACATACACAGATGTGCACACACATGTGCACATATACAAACAAAGATATACTCAAAAATGAATACGAACATTCACACACACAGACATATAACAAATTCCCACTCACTTGTCAGTGATGAGCACCACATTTGCCTTCTCCTCACGACTCACGGGCGCATGTGCCCAGTACATGTCTGAGCGGCCCAGCTCACCCTTCATCACGCTCAGCAGGAGTCTCTGCCCAGCCGCGTGGTGAGGGGAGTAAGAGCGCAGACCCTGCAGGGAGGAGGGCAATTTTCAGGATAAGAAGAGGAGGGTAATGTTAATGACTAGACCAAACTTTAGTAGAAAAATGAGAAATTCCTTATGGTATATGATACTTCTGATACACTGAAACAAACACATACATACACTCTCTTCCCCTCTCTCTCTTCTGCTCTCACTCTCTTTCTTTCTGCCTCTCTACACACACACACACATACACACACACACACACACACACACACACACAGAGGCACACACATACAAACACATACATTTTCTCTTTCCGTCTTGGAAAATACACAAGAAGAAGAAACTATAGTGCTTTCAAAAAGAGAACTTCCTTGTTGTGGTCATATATATAGCAGTAATGAATACTTTTGGTACTTTAACATT